GATCCTCCTACCTCAGCCTCCTGAGCTGCTGGGATTGCAGGTGTATGACACTGCGCCTGGCTCAGGATTCAGTTCTTAAGTGGAGGTGGCATCTGTCACTTCACCAGGGAAACTGAGGCTCTGAACAGGCATGCCCCCAGCCAACTAGGCCCTGGTCCCTGAGCCCAGTGACCCGTCCCCTCCCCAGTGGCTGGGTGAGTCACCTCCAGGAGGGGGGGCCTGCCTGCACATGGGTGCTCAAAACTGTGCCAGGGAAAGCTGAGCTCAGGGTGTGCCAAGGCCAGCAGGGGACTGGGGAGGCACAGGCCAAACCCCGGAGGAGACACAGCTCAAGCCCTGGCCTGCCCCATTGGTGGGAACCCTGCTCTTTCTCTGAGAACTGAGGGGGTGGGAGGGGAAGGCAGCCAGCCCCTCCAGAATCCTTCCACCCTCGCCTCTGCAGGGCCGGCTCCCAGCTCCGCTCAGGGCCTGTGCAGACTCCTACGGGGTGCCTGGTAGGGGCCTCTCATCTCCCCAGCCTGAACCCTGCACCCCATAGGCTTTCTGGGAAAAACAAAAGCTGGGCACCACAGCTGGGGAGAGGAGAATGGAGAGCTTTGCAGAGCAGGGACGCTCAGGCCAGAGAGGGCAAAGGCCAGGCAGCGGGCTAACTGGGGCTGTGAGGAAGGCTGCGGCTCAGAGGAAACGTGATGGAGGGGACAGACCCGGGGAAGGTGGGAGGGGAGAAAGCAATAATAAGCCCCTCCCTCCCCGCAAGAGAGCAAGAGCAACCCACTGTAGGAGGGAGAGATAACAGAGGTCCAGGGAAACAGGAAACCAGGAGATGGACCTTGAAGGAAGAGCAGGACAGAGACGAAGGAGGGAAGGAGCAGAGAAAGGCGAAGCAGCACAGTCAACCAAGTCCACAGGGCCCTTCGGGATTCTGGTGGCGGCAGCCACTGTGAAACAGGTGTTATGAAGATGAGGAACTGAGACTCGACCGGCGGGCAGCACGCCTGGTATCCCAGTGACTCAGGAGGCTGAGGCAGGAGCATTGCAAATTTGGGCCAGCCTCTGCAACTTAGCCAGACCCTGTCTCAAAATGAAAAGGGCTGGGGAGGAGTGGGCTGGGGGTGTGGCTCAGCAGTGGGGCAATCGCCTAGCACTTAGGAGGTGCTGGGTTCCATCCTCAGCACCACATAAAATAAAGATCTTGTATCCACCTAAAAATTTT